TTTAAAAACTTCATTAAGTGTAATTTTAACAAATCAGTCAATTTTAACCTTCAATATTATTGTAATGTAGTGCAACTTTCATGTATAGGCTATTTTACAGCATTAGTTGAGAGATTTTTTTCCTTGAGAAAATGTGGCATGTACTGTACCTAATATATATCCAAAATAATCGATATTGAATTGAATCGGTAATCGAATCGAATCGCAAGCTTGTGAATGGGAATCGAATCGAATTGTGAAATTTGTGTCAAATGCAGAGGGCTTTGCGGGTGAGACGGGTGTTGTAAATGTCCTGGAGGGAGAGGAGAGAGGCACCAACGATCTTCTCAGCTGCTCTCACTATGCGCTGAAGTGTCTTGCGGCAGGATGCGTTGCAGGCACCATACCACACAGTGATGCAGCTCGTCAGAATGCTCTCGATGGTGCCTCTGTAGAAGGTGTACATGATGGGGGCCGGGGCTCTGGCTCTTCTTAGTTTGCGGAGGAAGTAGAGACGCTGCTGTGCTTTCTTGGCCAGTGCTGTGGTGTAGTCAGCCCAGGAGAGATCCTCTGTGATGTGCACACCCAGGAACTTGGTGCTGCTCACCCTCTCCACAACTTAAATAGCGGGCAAATAAATATCTGGTTCTCTCTCAGATTTTAACAGAATAATGATAATCTGCAATAGATTCTCTCTCAGAAGTCATCTCTTCCTTGTTTTTTTTTACCCTTCTAAATCCAAACTTGCCCTAACAAAGCAGAGAGACACTTGCAAAGAATCTATTCATAGACTTTGATTTCACTGGGTGAATTGCTGGTGATGTCATCTAGTCACTGTATCTCTATGCGTTTTTATTCTTGGTATAACTATTCCACCCCTGTATTTCTATGAAAGTTGCATCAATTCTCATAAAATGAAAAAGTGATTTTGGTGTGAGGGAAATGGTGTTTATTGGATAACCCAATAATTGCTGCAGTTTTGTGAATTTTTCTCAAACTTGAAAGTCAGAGAAGAACACTTTTCTTAGAAATAAAATCCAGAATAATCAATTTTTCATAAGCTGACTTCCAGTAATGGATCGCTTGTATTTCTAGAGCAACTACGAATCCTGATCATGTAACTTGGGTGTGGTGTTTGATTTCCTGGCTGTAATAAATTATGCCTGATATGGGAGGATGGGCATTTTTCCAGTCGTGCCTAACTGGAGAATACAGAGTAAAGTTTTAGCTTGTTCTTAGAAGTGTCTTGGTTCCTGACAGTGGAATGAGACATTCAATAGAAATTAGCGATTTAACAGCATCTTAATAATTCTCATTTATTATGAAAACAGGTAACACAATCTTCAGAACCTGTTGCAGAAGAGCTGGAAGTTGACACTGACAAACAGCATGACGTTAAATGATTCAGACAACTACACTAACATTACATCAGCAGCATGGATGGGTAACTGACGTGATGTATCTGACTGCCTGACCTTTCTTTCATTGTCAGCGATACTTACATCAGTAGATATCAGATAAGATTAATAATACAAGTCTCAGAATCAATAAGCTTATTTGTTTATCGTGTGCCAGCATGCTGGATGTAGCTGACCTTGTTACAGGAATAGTTATTTTTAAATTATATTGTCTCTGATTAGCATTTATGGCATGATGCATAGATTAATCATTTCGACTGGTTCATCAAAACAGGAAATGTGTTTGCAGTGATATTTTTACATTGGAAATATGTGAGGAAAATATCTGTAATATTCTGGGAATAACCTATTAAACTTATGATTGATCTTGAGAAGTTTTTGAAGCCAGTTGAGATTTGAAATGTAAATATTGAAATGGGATAATGGGCTGGTAATGAAAGAGGTTGGAGAAGAAAAGTGCAAGACCTTAAAGAGTGGGTGATGGATTTTGATAAACATTAAATATATACAAATAACGAGTCATTATACAAATATGAGATCTTATTAAAAAGGTTTATTGTTGAAAAAGATGTCATTAATTCCATAAAGATCATTTTACACCAAGAGCATGTCAATGTGCACATATATATGGGACTTTACATGCAACAATAAGAGGTAGCAAATAATGGTCTTGTGTGTGTATAAAGGTGAAACAATGACCTTTCAAAATGGCACAGTACTTAACAAACCTTTGCCAAACATTTGTCTCTAAGCCTCAACCGGAGCCAGACACAGAAAATCTAGAACCAACAAAACTCTAGTCCTAAAATCAACTGTCAGCCTATGTTCTATCAAAACATACCATGAAATTCCAGCCTTTAGTGTGGGCATCATTATAACTACAAAGAAAAGGCCGTCATAATTCTTAAATATTTGCAGAACTTTTAAACAGCAGCATTTTACGGTTTAATTTTCCATTTACTTAAAAAAATAGTGTTTAGTTTGTGAACTTTTCAAACTTTTCAAAGTACAGATATCTGATATAATGTGAACCAAATTTAATTTTAAACAAACTAACAGTAACTTGCAAAGTCTTTCGGTTGAGTTAAGCAGGGTCTAGATTTGTTCAGTTGAGACTTCAGAGAATTTAAACCAAACCAGAACCTGGAGCTGGTTGGAGAAGGTAAAGGTAGAAATCAAGCATCCTAATGTTGAACTTCAAGATTCAAAGAGAAGAAAATGTGAAAGCATAAGAAATTTGTTGGCATTTTAGAAGGACAGTGAAACACACCTAAGATGTATGCCCCAAACCAATAAGCATTAGGTATCTATTTAAAATAGTCTATATGCATTTCGCTCATCAAATATTGCACGCTAAAATATCCATCAAAATATTTTCACCATTCCAAGTAACTCAGCATATGGCTTGCATTGCAAAGCAGTTTGTGCTGCCTTTCAAATATAAAATATATATTAAAATACAGGACTAAACTTCAGTTCAACTCGCAGGTTTAACTTTGGCCTGCTATGTGCTCAAATGTAAACATTGCAGTTCTTCCTTCATTTTCTTTATGGCACTTGATGGATTATTAACACCCAGACTGCTAATCTAAAAATATTTATCAAAAAAAAAAAAAAAGAACAAGCAGCAATTCGGAAAACAAAACACTACTATGCAAAGGGTGAACCGTGCCCAATGATGAATTGGAATGAATTGGTAAGCAGTGTTCTTTTTGTTCAGGATGAGTGAATTCAAGGGTGGGAACACTGTAAGATTCCTTAAAGCAATTTAGATGTCTGGTTGTACCCAATGTAAGGTTTACTGGCACAGACAAGGCATATGGAACATACACTAAGAAACCTAATCAGTGAATCTGAATTCAGGATTCATTACATATACAAGGGGGGGGAAAAGAGGGTATTGAAAGTTCAACAGTTGGCTTCAACACTTCCTTTCTTCTTCTTT